TTGCTACTCTTTCTTGCGACGTATCTGCTCAAACTTGACAAAACCAATGTCCATAACAAACTTGAGACACCCAAGGGAATTTCCTTTGAGGGAAAGGAGTGGAGAAGTCAGGCATTGCTCTGTGTGAAGTAACTGACCTTACTGCTAGTACTGATTTTAAAATTTGTCTCACTGAATGATCACTTCAGGACTCACCAGCTTCTATGCAAGGTATGGGTATCAAGGAAAGAGTCTGTCAGATTCTGTGGAAGGCTGATGGGCCTATGACTGCCTGGGCACATTTCTCCACCCCTCATTTCTCCTCCTACTGTCACTACCAGCATCAGTTGCCTGCTCCCCTTAGAAGTGAGATTTTCCAAGATGTGAGGACATGGATTTTTTTTATGCTAAATATCACTCTGATAAGGAGCTAGATTCCAAGGCGCATCACTCTCGCCAAGCCCCCAGGCAACTTTTCAGAGCACAGCTTTCAAGTAGCACAGGCTGAGTACATAGCCTAAATCAGTTTCTTCCCTATCACATTACAGATACACATCATGCTTGCCTGTAAAGGAAAATCCCGGCAGATGTCATTAGCGATGAACTTGCTCTTTTCTTTCACAGACTTTTTTTCAGTGGACTCGGTTTTACCTCAGAGAGTAGTTTACGGATAATACTGAAGTGTGGGTTTTGGACAAAGTGGTTTGCTTGCAGTGATTGCTTAAAAGAAGGCCTAAGTGTAATTTTCGGTGCCAAATGGCATTCAGTTTCAAAATAACCTCAAGAACCAATTAAGAGCATCACAGTTTTCTGATAATAAAAGCAAAGACCCTATACCCTCACTCTCTCCATCCACACCACTGTCATTAATAGTTGCATCCACTATTAAAATGGGGAGAATAGCATTCTTTAATAGATCACAGCATCTTGCTCACTCAAAAAATAAAAATGTTTCTTACTGATGTCATGGTGGCTTTAAAAATTATTACTTTTTATTAGAAATGAGGTGATAGTCAGAGAAAGTAAGTAGCTTGAAAGAAAGGTAGAAAGAGGAACCAAAGTTCTATTTTTGGCTTTTCTGCACTGACTCAGTGTGAACTCCACACAAGTGGCTTAGTTCACGGACTAAAGTGAGAAAATGCTGCAGCTTCCCTATTTGAATGCTGGAGAAATGCTGAGAACACTTACATAAATATTTTTCTTTGAGCTCCCTAGAAGACAGGAACTTTATAAATATTAATATTTCTCTTACACCTTAGGGACAAGTAGGCAGAAAAATTGTGATACTCTCAAGGAGAAATCACCTATTTGAGACCATCTCTACCTCATGGCAAGCTATAGACTCTGCCTTGGCTTCATTCTCTCATTCCTTGTCCGAGCCTCTGACAGTTGACTACTGTAGAAATATAAATAACCCTGAACAATAGAGGACTGGAGGTAGAAAACTCCGCTTGGATGTAGTCACACTGGCTGATTGCAAGCTGGAATCAAAATAAATATGACATTTAAAATCCCCCATTGAAAAGTATGAGAAAATGATTCACTTTAGGAATGAGTAATTCAGAGACATGTCTTGAACTTACAGTCACACTGAATCTCTAGTATTTTTTTTTAAATTTCTTTTGTCTATTCACATGTCCCAAGGACACGTAATAAGAAAAGAAGCCTGAAAGATGTGATTGTGACCAGCATGTTTAGAGTCACTCTGTTTATCTCAAGTGGAGTCTTAGAAAAGTAATTCACTTGTTTCTTTACAAATTCCCGCCCAACAGCTATTCCTCCAACACTTCAGTGGAACTAGCTTCTGGAATGATGTTCCGGGAATGCATGCAAGGGTTATTTTGGGATAGTGGATTTTCAGGTGAAATTTTTTTTTAGTTCACTTTCTTATTCATACTTTTCTGCACTTCCTGGCTTTTTTCCTTTAAATAAGTCAGTTTCATTTTACAAAAACAGTTACAAAAATAATTCTGGAAATTCTTCCCATTGATCGCCTTCTTCTCTCTGCCATGTACCCTGAGTTGTTCATGGGCCTGTGCTCTTTCCCTGCTTCCTCCTTCCCTCCCTCCACTTTTTGGGGCAGCTCTGGGGATCCAACCCAGGGTGTCTCTGTGCTAAGTAGACACTGAACCCTTGAGCCATGTTCCTAGCCCCCTTCCTGCTCCCCTTAGGAATTTAAGGCAAGGAGTGAAAGGATTCCTGGTTTCCAAACAGGGTACCTCAGTCCTGCCTGCAGTTGAAGCCATAGGGTTAGTTTTGATCCCGGGAACTCAAACAGCTTACAAAGTGCACATAGACAACATTCATTTTCTGTTTTGTCTCAGATTTCTGGGTGAAGTCAAAGAGAATGGGTGTCTTGAGTAAGAATTCTGCTAATAATGTTCGGTTTGTCGATCTAATCTGAAGATGAATACATTAGTATTAATGTTTCTTGAGCGCTCCGAGATTTTAGAAGCGATGCCAGTCACAACAAAAGAAATAAGTTCACACTCAAAGGTCTCACTCAATGAAATAATGAAAAACAGTTTAAGACTTGCTCTTTTGCGTAGCCATGTGTGATCTTTTCTATTTTGCCTCAATACCAAAGCACAGCAGAGCACTAGGTCATATCTGCGGCTCAAGCTTTCCTCTGCACGCCAGTTCTGTGAAGAGGAGCATCCGGGAGGATCAGGATGCCATTTATTTGGTCTTCCAACAAATATTTATTAAGCGCCTGTCAGGTGTCCGGCCATATTCTAGGCCGTGGGTGGAAGACAAGGATTGCCATGCAGTTGCTGAGCTAAAGAAGCTACTGGAGGGAAACAGGCAGACAAGACACAAGTGCACTGAAGTGTCCTGGGCACCACTCATTGGTCAGAATGAACATTCTCGGCACTGGGGCACCACCGTGGAGGGCTGGTACCATCTGATGTGAAGTGTGGAAGGAAGACCAGAAAATCCTTCAAAGGACAAAGAGAAGAAAAGGCAAATGCAGGCAGTGCAGCCCAGCCAGCACGGTGGCGGAAAGACACCCTGATGGGAGGGAAGCAGTGCTCTCCATTGAGGGTCCTGCCAGTGTTTAATGCATTAGAGGTCCCCCGGAGGAAGACCAGTGTGATGGAAGGTGAAGCCAGAGCAGCAAATGCCTGCTAAGAAGGGCTGGCATCATTTCATTTTCATAAGGAGATAGAAAATGTCCTGGTGGCTGTGAATTGGGGATTTATATAAGGAATCTCAGGAAGCAGATAATAGGGATGGGTTGGTTCCAAGCTCCCCCAAACTAGGAATAAAAGAAAGCTCACCAGTCAGATTCGCCTTCTAGCACTGTAATAGTCTAAATGTCCAGGCTCTGCCCAAGAGAGCAAAAGGCTGCTCAGTGTAGCAGAGAGTGCACTTCATGTGGCACCACACTCCTCTTGGACTGGAGTCCACCATTTTGTTCCTTTCCCTCTCTCTCTAGCCTTCCTTTCTGCATGGCTGAAGTAAGTAGCAGCAGACAAGCTCTTTCGGCCTGGAGAAACCCAGTGCTAAGGCTGCTTCATGGATGTTGCTGCCCCTGGCATCTGCCCAGGGGGTCCAGAGGGAGCCCAGGCGCCTGGCAGCTGCCATTTCATATTCTCCATGCTTTGGTACTTTGAAGGTGTCAGGGGCCCTTTTATTTCTCAACTGGTTCCAATATTTCAGCAACATTCTCCTCTGAGGTTCGCCAGTTGTCACTGTGGACCTTGACCCCTTTTCTCCTTGGGGCAAATCCTGTCCTAGGTAACTCCCTGAATCCCCTAGTGGGCAGATGCATGTCCATGCAAGTTGTTTTCCAGGCATGGCCAAGTGTTTGAATCCCCAGGAGAAGAGAGTTCAGATGCATGCTGGTAACTTTGGGAAGGATGGGCCAGGGATTTAGCTCAGTGGTTCTGGCGCCTGCCTCGCAAGCGCAAGGTCCCGAGTTCCATCCCCGGTACCAAAAAAAACAACAACACACACACTTTGGGAAGGTTATGGGAATAGAAATCAAGTGCAAGAAAACACAATCAGTAATAGAACTTGAGGACAGTGAATAAGAAGTGGGAGTAGGTTGTGTGGAGCCTCTAATTCAGAGAAAGTAGTACAGATTTGTAGACTTCTTATCCGTATTTTTCATCAGATTGCCTCTCATTTGTTTTTCTATTTTGCATTTTGTGAGCCGCCTGAGAACTTCTTTTTTGAAACATGCAAAGTGTATATACAGAAGGAAGTCTTACTGAATATGGAGCAATCTGAAGCCAGGAGTGATTTGTTGAAAGGTACAGGCAAAAACTAAACAAAACCTACTCTTGACAAACACAAGTCTAGAACTTGAAATATCATGGTGGGGGGGGTGACAAAAAAGAATTAAAAGATGTGTTATGTACGTGTACCAACTCCCCCAAATGAATGTAATCGTTATGTACTGCAAACATGTACTAATAAATTTAAAAAGAAAAAAAGGAAAAAAGAATTTTAAAAGAAAATCAACCTTGACCTACACTCCTGATGGCAAAGTAGTTAGGGAGATTATTGCCTCCTCTTGGAGCCCAACCCAACCCAGGTGGAAGAGCAATATTCTGCCCACTCCCGCTGGGACGGAGATTTGGGGGCTGCCCGGAGAGGCCTAGGGAAGTGTCCCGGTGTAGGTGGATGTGTCCCTCCACGGGGTGTGGGCATCTCTGGGTACCAGGGCCCTAGAGAGTCCACAGCCATGGACGCAGGGGCGCTGAGGTCACCCGGAGGGGACTTTGCCTCACTTCCCACCACACCGACCGCCCTCGTCCAGGTCCGGGTCTCCCCCTCCTCTCCCCTCTGCCGGGCGCCTGCTCCTGGGCCTCTCCGTCTGTCCCTCCAGGAAGCTCCTCGCTTTTCTTCCCGCCAAACCCACACCCCAGGGAAGGGGCGGGGGTCGAGCGGCAGGTGGATCCGGGCTGCGCTGGCGGGCGGCCCTCCCCTCCCCTCCCCTCCCCTCGGTCCCGCCTCTCCGGGTCCCCTCCCTCCCCGGCCGGCGGGGCGGTCCCAGGCCCCGCGCCCGCCGCGTCCTGGGCGGCTGCAGCCAGGTGCGCCACGGCCCCACGATGCGCGGGTGGCTGCTGCTGGCGCTGTGCGCGCTGCTCCCCGGGGCGGCGGCGGGGGGCTCGGGAGGGCTCTACCCGCACCGCACGATGCTCGACGCCGAGGGCGCCTACTGGCTGGGCTGGGGCCCGCGGGGCGGACGCCTAGGCTTCCGCCTCGAGGTGCGCACGGCGGGCTACGTGGGCTTCGGCTTCTCGCCCGCGGGGACCATGGCCGCGGCCGACATCGTCGTGGGCGGAGTGGCCCACGGGCGGCCCTACCTCCAGGTAAGCGCGGCCCCGCTGGCTCCCGCACGCACCCCTGAGCCCGGCCACCGGCTGTCTGCGGACCCTTCCCCCGCGCACCTGCCCGCGTCCCCTGGTCCCGGCGGGAGAGGAGGGGTCCCAGCTTCGGAGACCACCCCGACTGCTCGGAATCGGGGAGGCGGAGCGGGCGCCCCGTCTGTCGGGGAGCCCGGGGCGGGGCTGAGGACGGACACCCCAGCCCCTAAGAAGGGGTCCCCACGAAGCGCGGGGAGGGTGCCCTTCTGGGCAGCTAGGAAGCCGCGTTTAGACACCCTCGTAAGGGAACGTACCCCAGGCAGAATCCCCTGTTAGGTGATAAATACTTTTCTTTTGCTTGCTTTCATAGACAACAAAAGTTAATTTGATTTTCCTTGCTGCCAATTTGCTTTGAGGGAACTGGAGTAGCAATGATGCCCGTTCATAAATGCTTTTATTCCTAGGAGAAGAAAGGTGAAAAGGGAAAGGGGGAGAGAGAGAAAGAGGGGGGAGAAAGGCAGAGGACACAGAGAGAGGGAGGGGAGAGGGAGGGGAGAGAGAGGAGGGAGGGATTGCAAAACCCAGAATGATTAGGTGGTTAGGTTCTCTGGAATTTAATCTCAGGGAAGGCACACTGTGTTATTTATCGAAGTTCATCCAGAAATACTGCCCGTCGCTGATAGTCCAGATGATGAAAACTCCTGTTGTTCTGGAGCCAACTTAAGGCTTTGATAGTATTGAATCAATGTTCCCTGTGGATTGCTGTGGATTTCTCAGTGATTTTATCCCTGACTTCTCCAGTGGAGTCCCACAATGTTCTAACTGTGATGCCCTAACCTTTGAACCCTGATTCTGGCACTAAGCTGTTGACTCTGGCTAGAAATAAAGTGACAGCACTCACTAAAAGCTCAAAATTGCCCAATTATCTGTTTTTTAAATAAATGAATTATTTCATTCCAAAACAAGTATGTTACAATTCCAATAAAGTTTTATGAGGATCTTGTTCACTGATGTATAACATTTCTGCCACTGTAGCACCTCAGACATTACATTTGTTAGGCTAGGATTGGACCCCAAACTCAGGCCCCACTGGGGGAGTGACTTCCTCTACTGGGATAGAAAGTAGAGGAAAAAATAAGAGTAATAAAAAATCAACCTCAATTATGAAAACCAATGAAAGGCAGAGAGGCAAGTCGCATTTCTCTTTAGACCAGGTTTAGTATCAGGGTGCCTTATTTCGTCTGTTAATCATCAGTAGGTAACAAAGTGCCCCAACACATAGCACTGTTTTGCGCAGGAATCTGTAACATGAGCAGGGCTTGCTGAGATCAGCCCTTTCTGCTCTGCTTCATGTCAGCTCCACCGTGGGTGGCTGGAAGCATCTGAATGCGTGCTCACCTCACCTCAGTAGGTGGCTGCCCCAAAGAGTGGACACCCTGGGAGGGTCAAGTGGAAAGCCCTGTGTGACTTAACCTTGACTCATCTGCTGTGTCTTTTGCTGTCGCTTTTGGCTCACCAGTCCAAGAGGGGACACAGATTCTGCCCTGCCGTCGTGGGAGTGGAGCACGTTCAGTGTAGCCATCTGCCTCATCCATCCTGTGTGGTCTGCCACAGTCCTCCCCACCACCACCGTTTTTGAGTGCTTATCTACACGGATCCACTCTCTGGCCACTACTTCAATTGGGAGGCATTGTTTACTTATCCAGCATTCCTCCCCCCAGCCTCCCCAGCTAGAAGTTTGGGCAATAGTTGGTAACTTTTCCACTGTCCCATCCCACACTCGGGCATCTCCTTTCCTCTGGCCCTCCCTGGAGTGAGTTCTGAACTCTGGCCACCCCATTCCTCAGTGGTTGACAGTCACTAATCAGGGTTAGACCCAATGAGAGCCCCTGCAGAGGGCACGGTGACATTTGCCTGCAGGCTTAGGGAGTTAAAAAATCAGATTTTGAATTTCCTTATGTCACCGCAGCAGGTTTAGCTGCCCTTCACACTGTACCTGGAGAGCTACCATTATGGAAAATTTCCAGATCCACTGTATAGCCTGCCGGGAGATATCTCCTCCAAGTGTGCATGACCAGGTATTATCGATGTGGGAAAGAGAAGACGGAGATGCTGTGCTTGTGAACCAGAGCCAGTCTAGGCAGGCTGGGGAGAAATCACTCTGGGGAGCTTGCACTTGTGAAGCGTCCGCTCGGGGTGCTTCGAGGTCAGTTTCTACCATCTTTGACAGAAGGACCAGAGCTGGGGGCCAGAAGCACTTCGTCCTTTGGGTTGACTTTCAGAACCTCATGATCTTGTCTCAGGGAACCAGCTCGACTCTCCTTTCCCTGATGGATGGTGTCCTTCCCCTGTTCTTTGCCCTTTTTTGACACAGAGCAACCCCACCCCCTCCCAAGCCATTTAGCAACTGTGAGTGCCCATTTGAGGCAAGTAATCCTGAGGATGAATGAATGCCCAGTTTGTCTGAGTGAGAGAAGAGGGAGGCATTGTCCATGTGCCTGTGGAATTTGCACAAAAATGGATTCACCCTTCTTATGGGGCCAGGCGTCTAGTGAATGGTGGCCCCAGCATGTCATCATTTATTAGAGCCTTGTTCAGAAACAAACCTCTCTGTGCCTAGAAGTGTCTTCAGCAGCAGGGTAATTGCTGCCGGGCTGCTCACTGAGAAAGTGCTTAGAGCTGGTTTGCAATCACAGAAAACAGTGAGCATTCTTTGTGGTTAACGATGTGCTTCTTTTTAAAGAGCACCCCAGCCAAAGGCAACAAAGAAATGTTTGGAAAGCAAATTGAAAGCTGTAGGGGAAAGACAAGAAAGTGTGCAACCCTGACACAGCTCAGCTGGAGCTTTGTTAAGAGATATTTATAAGTCTTTGGATGATGATGCCCCCGCCTCCGATTTCCAGATGACAGGGGGCCTTTCCAGGCTTCATGCTTGGTGTGTTAGTAATGGGGACACACGCGCCAGTGTACTGAGACGTGATGATGCTCTTCAGCTGTGTGCAGCGGATTTTGTAATTAGCCCAGGAAGTGAGCTGGCCCAACCGCCAAGGAAACAGTTCACCTGAATTGCCAAACAGGGTTCAAGGCTTCAGGCGGCCAGTGGCTTACTTCTGGAGTCTTGGAAGGAGAGGCAGGCGTCCACTTCAAAGGAACTGGACAGTGGTTGACTGTAATAGGTCCCTACTAAAATAAAGTTGCTGGCAACAGAGAGGAACTCATTCCACATCCTCGAGTTCCTGGAAATGTTTGATCCATACGGGATAAGTAAAACTCTGTAGAGGGAAGCCTCAGGATGCTTTTTATTATAATTTAAAACAAATTACTAATAAAGAACTTTCAAGCAGAAAAATATATCTGTAGGCAACATCTTCCAAATCTATACTTAGACCTTAGACATATACATCTTAGCTTATAAGGACAGCATACAGCATATTTGCGAAGGTTTCTGCTAAAATAATTTTAACTGGATATTTTTGTTAACTGTAGGATTGGGATAATGTATCTAAATGCTACACAAATCCTGTACAGATTTTCTGATGCATTTAATCGAGCCAAAATTATGAGAAAATCTTCATACCTTTCTTGCTTTTATAGGTTAAATGTTGATGTTTTGTTTATTTACTTGATGCCTCTTAAAAGCATGGAGTCCTGTCCTCCACCTCTCTCCCCAGTTTTGCAGGTGAGGTGACTGAACCTTAGCCAGTATTAAAGGGCTCGTGGAGGGAGGACCCCAGGTGTGCAGCTTGCCCTTATTTCCTCTGAACCCTGGTTTGGGGCGCTTTCTTCTCCTGCAAGAAGCTTCCATAAAAATGCATTCCAGGGCGGGGATTTAGCTCAGTGGTTCCAGCACCTGCCTCGCAGCGCAAGGACCTGAGTTCGATCCCCGGTACCAGAAAAACAAAACAAAACAAAACAAAAATGCATTCCAGTTTTCTGCCCAAATAATGAAAGACTATGTATAATAAAATGCACTTTTAAATAGACTGATAAAATCATAGTATTTTTCTTGCTACTTTTGTTCCATTATAAATGTTATAGATATATATTTCTATGCTATGATTTTTTAAAGTGATGTTTCTTATTATGTGCCCTACATTTTGATGTCCTTAACATGCTATTTCCTCTGATTCTCACAATAGTCCTGTGAGCTCAATACCTTATTTCTCTCATTTTGTGGATGTACAAGCCCTGTGTTCCAGATTTGTGGTTTTTGCATGGCTGCTTCAGTGAAGTATTCACGCATAGATAGAAAATGCTGGACTGATCATTCATTCATTCATTCAACCAGTATTTATTGGGTATTTATTGACAATTCTATATGCCCCCAATACAGCATTGAATGAGATGAGATCAGGCATATTTTGGAACTCATATTTTGATAGGTGGCAGCAGTGAACAAATAAATAAGAAAGAAAAATCCCAAGAAGTGGTAAGTGCTGAATAGAAAATTAAAATAGAGTGGTGTGGTAAGTATTGGCTCTGTGGTTATTTCTGATTAGGATACTAATAATCAAAACATGAAGGAAAACAAGAGTCCTGAATTTTAGAGGTTGTTTTTGGAAATTAATAATAGTATTTACAATTCAAAATATTACATACTATGAAGAGAATCCAGCATGGATATCTAAGAACCACTCAGAAGATCCTGAATATAGGAAACTATCTGCTTGGAGAAAATACAGTATTTTTTAAAAAGGTGTCTAACTGGACGGTCTTTCTTGTCCTTTTCTGTAGCAGTGTTGCACAGTGGTTAACTAAGTTTGACCAAAATCTCTCAAACTCTAGTTGGTGGTTTTGTACAAGTTTCTTTCTTAATACTGTCTATGAATGTTTTTCTCTTATATTCTGTATTCTTCTTCATCTTAAAAATAGTTGAGAAGAAGATCAACACATCAACATTTATCTGGAGAAGACATCCATCTTTCTTGAAATTTTTGAATGAAAAATTTGAAACCTCAATTTCTCAGGAAAAAACTGAATTGCTGATTTTTAATTTTCCCGCACAG